ACCAGCTTATGTAAGCCAAGCCTGCTGCTTTGTCCTGGACCTTGGAGTCTTCAGGACTTTTTAACCAAAGGAGGCAGAACTACATGACTTCCTGTGTCCTAGGCATGTGCTTGATTTTCTACAGAAATGAAGTGTAGGCCCATATTTCTATATGGTGTGGCAGCCAGGCTCTAAAGCCATGGGCCCCACCTGAGGATGGTCACGTAGCCCTGCAGACAGGCTGTCGCAACCTAACAAAAGGTCAGAATGTTGTTGCTCCTTCTTTGTAATTGGGAGGATGCATGATAGAAATGTTAATTCAAACCTATGTGACAGCTAGCATACACAGCAGACAGGATGTTATGGATGTGACTGAAAGCCATTCACCTGGTTTCCTAGGAGACAGAATGCTAATGTATTTCCCCTCAGTTAAGTTTTGATATAAAGACTGTTTGGAGAATAAACAAGTAAAATTCTTCAGGATGTGAACTCAGGACTTCATGAGGAACCACTGAGAATCTCCCTCCCGATAAAGCCATGAGAGTTGTGTCTTTATTTCCGCGCCTCCACACTGGTCCAGGGATGTAACAGAACAAGCGGGCTGCTTGTTGTCCCAGCTGCCCCACTAGCTTACACCCGAAATAATCACACAGAAACTATATTCATTTAAACACTGCTTGGCCCATTAGCTCTAACCTCCTATTAGCTAACTCTCACATCTTGATTCAACCCATTTCTAATAATCTGTGCATCACCATGAGGTCGTGGCTTACTGGGAAAGATTCAGTATGCCTGACCTGACAGCTCCACGGTGGCTCTCTCGCTCTCTCTCTCTCTCTCTCTCTCTCTCTCTCTGTCCTTCCTTCTTCCTCCCAGAATTCAGTTCTGTCTACTCTGCCTACCTAAGTTCTGCCCTTTCACAGGAAGAAATAGTTTATGTTGGGGTCTGGTCAAGAGAAATAATTGAGGGTCCGGGCTAGCACTGGACACCGACAATGAAGGACTGGGGACAGTAGCTCTTTCTAGATGCACAAATGCAGAGGAGAAAGGACAATGACATTGACAGACAGTTGAACATCCTCCTATGCAGGAACCAGAGCCCCATCTCAGCTCTCTGACAGTTAGAGAGTCCCCAGTGGACTCTATGCTTAGTGTACCACCTCCCTTAGAAGTCATAGAACTTGGTAGGGACTTGGATGCAGGAGTAGAGCGAGAAGGAAGATGTAAGAATCACTGATGTGGGATGCCCTTCTGTATATGTATTGGTTGATAAATAAAGCTGTTTCAGCCAATGGCTTAGCAGAGTACAGCCAAGCAGGAAATCTGAATAGAGATATTGAGAGAGAAAGTAGGCAGGGTCAAGGAGATGACATGTAGCTGCTCAAGGAGAAAGATGTTCTCCCAGAACCTTTACTGGACGTCCACAGCCTCGTGGCTACACACAGACTAATAGAAATGGGTTAATTCAAGATATAAGAGTTAGCCAGGAATATACCTAAGTTATTGGCCACATAGTATTATAATTAATACAGTTTCTGTGTGATTATTCATGTCTGGGTGGCTGGGAACAAAGGAGCAGTCTCCACCAACAAATCGCTCTTGGGTTTCAGGCTCAGATGCCTAGGTAATCCATGGGAGGTGCAAGAAATAAGAAGAGAGGCTCACAGGGCAGATGATGGTAACAATTCTGCTTGGGATCTGATGGCTTGGAAGCTCCAAGGAAGAACAAACAGAGATAGATGTTCAATAGCAGCTAAGATTGATGAGGTCTTAGGAGTTACTGGTTTGTAAAAAGGGTTGAAGCAGTGGGATCATTCAGACAACACAAAGAGCCAAGCAAGGATACATGGGAACAGCAAGATTTAAGAGAAAAAGAAGGTTCAGGAGAACGTGGAGAGAATGCTACAGGATGGGAAATCAAGAGAAGCCGACATTGTAGGCCAGAAGGAGAAATACCAAGTGCTGCAAACAGCTTGAGATGGACTGGGGTTAAGGCGAGAGCCACGATCAAGTTATGACAGCTGTTGGGGATGAAGAAGGAAACGAAGGGAGGTGAAGTTCAAGTCTGCATGTGCCCATTCGGCCGGGACCTGGTGTGCCATCAAGAGGCATTTGCGGTGTATTCTAAATGCTATTGGGAACTTGTCTGAAGATTTTAATGAGGAGCGAAGACACAGGATAGGCATGAGAAACACACCCATCTGGGGCCAGTGAGATGGTTCAGCCCGCAAGAGTACTTGCCTGGAATACTTAATGACCCGACTTCAAATGCCAGATCCCATGCTAGAAGGAGAGAACCAACTCTCAAAAGTTGTTCTCTGACCTGACATACAAGCTATGACACATACATTTTATACTCACTAGCTATTAATAAATAAAACAACATAAAATTTTCTTTCTTTTAATTGCCCAAGGGTGATTCTCACTACAGCATCTGTCTGTCATGCAGATGTATAGGAGAGAGGGTAGAAGAGCGAAGCCAAAGACGTCAGTGCTCTGAGCCAAACATAGGATAAGGGGGATGGAGGGGTTAAAAGTGTGCAGACTCAGATAGCAGCACTTGCTAATTAATTGGGTGTAGGAAAGAATCAAGTACTAATGTTTAGGGTTTAAACACTGAGTAGTTGGAGATGCCATTTACAAAGATGGCAAGATAGGGAAACAAAAGGCACAGGGTTAGGGAAAAGAAGCAGAATCCAGACCTGGCTCCTTCCTTTTTTTCCTTCCTGCCTTCCTTCCTCCCTTCCTCCCTTCTTTCTCCCTTCTTTCCTCCCTTCCTTTCTCCCTCCCTCCCTCCCTCCCTTCCTTTCTTCCTCCCTTCCTCCCTTTCTCCCTTCCTTCCTCCTTCCCTCCCTCCCTCTCTTCCTTCCTCTCTCTCTCTCTCTCCCTCCTTTCCTCCCTTCCTCCCTCTTTCCCTTCCTTCTGAGACAAGGTCTCTCCATATAGCTCTGTCTGGCCTGAAACTTACTTGTAGTACAGACTGGTCTTGAACTCACAGAGATCCATCTACCTCTGTCTCCCAAGTTCTGGGATTAAAGATGTGCTCTACTACACCAGACTTCACGCCCCTCCTGCCCCTATAAAGGCTCTTTCACTGTGCTGCCAAGGCTAGTCTCAAACTCATGGGCTCAAGCGATCCTCCCTTTTCAGTCTCCCAAGTAGCTGAGATTATTGGCAAACAACCACTCGGAGTCTGGCCATTTGTTTCTGTGTTTCGCTTTTAAAGATAGGGTGTCTCCATGCAGTCAAGACTGATCTGGAATTCCTTATGTAGTCTAGGCGGGCCTCAAACTCAACAATCCTCCTGCTCCCACCTTCTGTGCGCTGGGCTTATAGGCATGCAGCACAGCTTGGACATATTAAATATTATAGACACACAAGTAGAGAAGAAGCCAAATAAGCAGTTGGTTACCCAAATCTGGAGCCCAGGAGTGAAATCATAGCCGACTTTGAAGTCATCAGCATCCACCTCCAACCAAAAGTCTGGGACAGGAATTGTGTGTGTCCCCTCTTACATGACTTGATTGAGCTTGAGTAGCTCTATATTTGGGAAGAGTATAGGGGAGGGCATTTGAAGTGTGACCTCGGGCTGGAGAGATGGCTCAGTGGTTAAGACCATTGCCTGCTCTTCCAAAGGTCCTGAGTTCAATTCCCAGCAACCACATGGTGGCTCACAACCATCTGTAATGAGGTCTGGTGCCCTCTTCTGGTCTGCAGACATACACACAGAATATTGTATACATAATAAATAAATAAATATTTTTAAAAAATTTAAAAAGTGTGACCTCTGACCTTTTTAACCTGGGAGCTAGCAGGACTAAGAGCCAGACTAACTGAGTTGTTACAGCTGACAAAGAAATGGTGCCTGAAAAAAAAATGAAGACTGTAGAGGAACCCTAAAAGATTTCCTTCTTCCCATATCCAGCTCCGAAAATTTGATAAAATTAACTCACAAGGAAGAAGAAAGGAAGGTGACACTGAGAACACTTAGTGTGCAGAGCCACCCCTGGGAGCCCAGATGAAGTCGAAGGGACAAATGTGGGTGTTAGCATGGTCACTTGCTCCTCCCTCCACTCTATCTCTCCCCTAAGCCAAGAGCAGGAGCTGCCAAAACCAGTACAGAAACCACCACTGGTCCAGCATAGCCCGAAGGCCTGGCTCCCATGAAGAGAGCGTATACCCTCCCCCTGCTATGGTATGAAGCAGGCTCAGCCGACGAGCTGAGACCCAAGTGTTCCTCATTCTGAGCAAACCAGACAGAAATACTGAAGGCCCGACTTTCCAAGCTTTACTGTGTACTGAACCATCTGGGAATTTGGGTAAATGCAGTGTTTGTGTGAGTTGAGGAAAGGGCCTGGGATTCTGCATTGCTGACACATTGCCAGGGCTTCTGTCACTGCTGTCTATAGAACAAACACTAAGGTTGCCGAGAAGACCACCTTTGATGGACAGGCCATTCCTCTCAGGAGCATGTGTTTGTTTACACACAGGGCCCCAGAACCTGTTAAGATGGAAATAGCCATCATCGGGCACGTCTCTGAGGGAGACAGGCACCTCATGGCAGATCATCCAGGAGCATGGCATGACTATTGAGCACTCGGGTTCTGAAGTGTAATCTCTCACACCTTCCATCTTCCTGGATATATGACCTTAAGTAACCTTTTAACCTTGCTCTATCCCATCTTTCTCATCTTCCTGTGGGAAATAAGGCTACTGTATGGATGCTGAGTCACCCCGTGTAGCATGGTGAACACTGTCCTGATGACCATATGCTCTTCCACGGCAGTGCACGCACCCACATGGTGCCTCCTTTTGAGTCACAGGCAAATACATGCTACCATGTCCCGACCAAGAAAAGACTCATGTCTTCTCTTTTGAATTCCTCTTTTCCTCCTGCCCACTCCCCCTCCCCTGGCCCCTGGCCCCAGTGTGGTCTGGAAGGGCCCCAGAGGGGCAGAGACAGGGACAGGACGTGGGGCTGTATCTGACAGGAACCTGAGGGGCTGGCCCGGGAGGGGATTGGGGCCCAGCTTCCTGAAGGGAGGATGGGCTAAGGCAGGCACACAGTGCGGGAGAAGATGCCCTCTTGGGCCCTCTTCATGGTCACCTCCTGCCTCCTCTTGGTCCCTCCAAACCAGGCACAAGTCACCAACCAAGGTGAGGTGTATAGAGGGTGGAGATTATCTATGCTCAGGCAAAGGGAGTCCTGGGAGGGGAACAGGGTAAAAGACTCCCACTGGTCCCCTGCTCTTACCCACAAACCTAACTGGAAGAATCTAGAGCCCGACTCACCAACTGTTTCTCAGATGTCTTCTTGCTGGCCTTGGGCACAGAGCCCCTGAACTGCTTCTCCCAAACATTTGAGGACCTCACTTGCTTCTGGGATGAGGAAGAGGCAGCACCCAGTGGGACATACCAGCTGCTGTATGCCTACCAAGGGTAGGTTCTGGACTGAGCCCCAATCCCCATTTATCTGTCCCTATGTTAGCTGAGTCATACTCTGAGCTTCCCTGTCTTTGGCCCTATCAGAGGAGTACTCCAAATGCATACCCAGTACATCACCGCGCTATAAATGGGGCCAGCTCAAGTCCCTGTGGGATTCCTACCGCAGGCAGCGAGAAGAAAATGGGAATCATGGAGAGAGAAATTGGGCATGGGTTCCACCTGGGGTGTCGGGGATGAGCATGCCGACTATGTAGGTAGAACTTCTCCTGTGCCAACAGAGAGAAGGCCCGTGCGTGTCCCCTGCATTCCCAGAGGGTGCCCACCTTTGGAACCCGATACGTGTGCCGGTTTCCAGCCCAGGATGAAGTACGCCTCTTCTTTCCGCTGCACCTCTGGCTGAAGAATGTGGTCCTCAACCAAACTTTGACCCAGCGGGAGCTCTTTGTGGACAGTGTAGGTAAGGGCATCTCTACCACACTGTCCCTCCATTTGCTGCCTGCGAAAGCACCCAGAATCAGGCTCACCCGTAGTCTTTCAGGACAGTGTGGGCACCCTTCTCGATCAGATTCCCAGAGGCATCTCAGAACCACTGCCCTTGCTATTTCTCCCAGCCTCGGCACCCAGAACTAGATTTCTCCCATAAGTCATTTCACACCAAGGATATCTTGCTCCTCTCATTAACATATACATACATTCACCTGTTCAACAGTCAGATCACTGATGTGTGCCAGGCGACAAGGAGACAGAGATGGAAAGAGGTCCCTGCTTTAAGAGGCACAAATCTAGCAAGCCATTACACCATAGTGAGCTCCTTATTCACAAGAGGATAGGAGAAGAGGACGGGCAGCTCCCTCTTTCCCCCTCCATGGAGATGAGAACCGGTGTCTTTTTTAGTTCAGAGTTGCTCTATTCAGACTTCCACAGCCCTCTCTGCAGTCCATGGCTTGAACCATAGGCTGGCACTCAGCAATTTGATGTGCCTTGTCTTGCCCTCAGGCCTGCCAGCTCCCCCCAGTATCATCAAGGCCAGGGGTGGGAGCCAACCAGGGGAACTTCAGATCCACTGGAAGGCCCCTGCTCCTGAAATCAGTGATTTCCTGAGGCATGAACTCCGCTATGGCCCCGCAGACCCCAGCAACTCCACTGGCCCCTCGGTCATGCAGCTGCTCTCCACAGAAACCTGCTGCCCCACTTTGTGGATGCTGAACCCAGTTCCTGCTCATGACCGACCTCCGTGTGTTCGGCCTACAGTGCCCCAACAGCACGGACCCATGAGGACCTCCCCAACAGGAGAAGTATTCTAGCTTTCTACTCCTCTTCCTATTTCCTACCCCAACGCGTCCCCTGAAAAAGAAAGGTCATCCTTAGGGGACCCTGGATAGGGTTGGCCTTTGAGGGGCCAGTGTAGACTCTGACTAGCTTTCAGGAGCCCTGTCTAGGGGTCTCCCACTTTGGATCATTCACACTAATATAATGGAAGCCTTTCAGGCTTCCAAATTGATACTCCCTAAACACCACCCAAAATTTGCCCGCACAGCCCCTGCTCTGGTGCATATCTATCCAGCAACGGGCCGAGGTTTGCACAATGGTTCAAATACGAGGTATGTGAGCTATCTTAGCTGAGAAGCAAGCCTAGGATTTTTCCCCCCCAGGTTCCATCTCTGACAGTGAAGGGTGGAAGCTGCCTCATCTCAGGGCTCCAGCCTGGCAAATCCTACTGGCTCCAACTACGCAGTCAACCAGATGGGGTCTCCCTTCGTGGCTCCTGGGGTCCCTGGTCCCTTCCTGTGACTGTGGACCTTCCAGGAGATGCAGGTGGGTCAGAAAAGGAATGAGGAGATGGGGAAGGGATTAAGACAGACCTCCAGGGAGACTTGGGCTGAGAATCATGGTCATTCCTGGTGACCTCAAATCTGGCATTGCACAGGACAGCTGAATAGGGGAGAATGCTCTGCTGTGTGTGTGGAGACAGTTTAGGGACGCTCCCGAGTAAAAAGCCTCGGCTCTCTTCTCTGACCACAGTGGCAATTGGGCTTCAGTGTTTTACCTTGGATCTAAAGAAGGTGATCTGCCAGTGGCAGCACCGGGACCACGCTCGCTCCCAGGGCTTCTTCCACCACAGCAGGACACGGTGCTGCCCCACGGCCAGGTAAGACTGCAACTGCTGGGTGAGCCTGAACCTGTGGAAAGTCAGCGTGGCTGTGGGTCCCCTCCAGGCGCTGCTCCCTGATCTCTCGTACGCCAACGAGTGTGTCCATTGTCTCTCTTCGTTTCTGATGGGAATGGCTTGCTTTTGTCAGACTTAATCATCTCGTCTGGACTCTTGAGGCGGCCTAGCAGGCACGCCCAACATAGGACCCAAAGGCCACATGTGACCAAGGACAGCTATGACCTTAACCCAACTCAAAAACTTACTTAACACACGCAGTTTTTGTGTAACCCGATTGTGTGTGTGGCACTTAAGTTTGAATTTCTCATATAACCAGGTCATTTCACAATATCAAAAGGTCAGACACCCTTGGCAATTCTATTTACCTTCAGTTTGCTCCCCACGATGCTAACCTCCCACATTGCAAGAGCTTTGTGAAGTTTACTGCTCACAACCTTCTGCTACTCAAGTATGTACTGCAATATCCTATGATCTGTGATCTAGTAACTCTATCCAAAACCCAACCTGGCCTTCAAGGACATCTACCAAATGCCTCCCTGATCCTTCATCCTTTCTGAAGTCAATCTATTACCAATGTTGTTGGTTTGGCATACTAAGTGTGCCCAAAGTTGTATCACTGCCATTGCCCGATTACAATCCATGCAGTTGGGGAGACAGATTACTTGGTAAAGGGCTTGCCTGACATGCATAAGACCCTGGGTTCAATCCCCAGTCCTGGGGGTGGGGGAGGAGGGTTATCATCTCCCACTTGTTCCCTGAAAAGAGTTCTTCACACAGGAACTGGAGAGATCCAGAAGTTCAGAAATAAACAGAACACCCCCTGCTTTAAAACCCTTGCTAAGTTCCCACTGATCTTAACGAAGTCTGTCTGCTGTACTCCGCTGATCCCTCTTCCAGCACAGGCTCTTTTCCCGCTCTGCTGACCTCTGATGAGCTGCTTATCCGGCCCTCTCTCCTCTCTACTGTCCCTTACCCTTCAGACCTCAGGAAACCGCCCCTTCTTTATTAGGTCCAATAGCATAATTACGCATTTTTTAAAAACTTGCTTACTTTGCCGCAGGGGTCAAGGGTACATGTGTTGTGCCAGCATGAGCGTGGAGGTCAGAAGACAACGTAAGGGAGTCGGTTCTATTCCTCCACCATGTGGGTTCCGGGGATGGAACTTGGGTTGTCAGGCTTGGCAGCAAGTGCCCTTACCAGTGAAGCCATCTTGCTAGCATGTTTATACATGCTTGTTGTATTAGGTAACTTTCCTTGTTTTGTTGTTTTTGTTTTTTGTGAGACAGGGTTTCTCTGTGTAATGGATCTGGCTGTCCTGAAACTCGCTTTGTAGATCAGGCTGGTCTTGAACTCACAGAGGTCCGCCTGCCTTGTCTCCCGAGGGCTGGACCTAAAGGTGTGCACCGCCATCCAGTCTCTCCTTTTTAAACACTAATTTCAGATGCAATTTAACATTTATCCTTATTGTGATTATTTAATTAAAAACCTTAGTAGGTGGTCCATACCTATAACCTTAGGACTAGGGAAGTAGAGGCAGGAGGAACTGAGGTCAACCTTTGAATTTTAGGACAGCCTGGGCTATGTAAGATTGAGTTTTTTTCCAAAAACAGTAACACAAAAAGCTCTCCGTCAGATCTCTAGTCAAGAAACACTGACATTGGCTATGTGTGACTCATGATGACAAAATCAGCATCCATCTTTCCTCACCAATACATTCTCACCTACCACAGTGGGCAGTGAGCGAGGAGGGGGATGGCTGGATAAAGCCCTTGCCATTCAGCCAGATCCTTGGGGCCCATGCAAAGCTGAGCCCAGTCGAACACATCTGGGATCCCAGTGACACCACAGCAAGACAGAGAGACAGAAGGATCCTTGGACATTCAAGGGCTAGCCTGCTGTACATAGCAGAGAAAAAGCCAAGAGATCCTGTCTCAAACAAGGTGGACCTTGAAGACCAACACCCGAGGATGTCCTCCAACTCCGCATGTGCAGTCACACTCATATGAATGTGTACATACACATGTACACACATACACAAGGACACATATGCAAGGAAAAAACCCTCAACAAATGAATGAGAGTCACTCTGAAGAGTTTTGCTGTAGGCTGGGCCATGGTGGTGCACGCCTTTAATCCCAGTACTCGGGTGGCAGGCAGATCTCTGTGAGTTCAAGGCCAGCCTGGTCTACAAGAGTTAGTTCCGGGACAGGCTCCAAAGCTACAGAGAAACCTCTCTCAAAAAACAAAAAACAAACCAAAAAAAGTAGCTATTCTTTTAAATGGTCGCACAGATTTTCATAGGGTGCAGCTCTAATTCATGGGTGAATTTAAGGTGACAAAACCAAATCAAGCCAGGCATAGAAATGCACGCCTTTAATACCAGCACTGGGGAAGCAGAGGCAGGCGAATCTCTGCAAGTTCTAGGCTAGCCTGGTCTACAGAGCAAGTTCCAGGACAGTCAGGACAAAACAGAGACTCTGCCTTGAAAAACAAAACAAAACAAATAAAATCAATCAGTTTTTTCACTCAAATTTTCTCTTGCTCTATTCTACCACGAGCTCAAGTTCCACACCTCAATCGCCCTTTACTTTCCTCCTTTCTCTGCCCCCCAGGTCTAATCAGAAATAGCCGTGTTAACACAGAAGTTTCTTGCATCCTTTCTTTCATTCTGTCTCCACCGTTTTCTCACCTTCACTACTTTGCACATGAAAATCCCAACAATGTCCTAGTGGAGTTCTCTGCTCCTCTCCTCTCCCAAATCCTCTCCACAAACAGCAGTTAGAGGGGTCTTCTGAAGCACAACGTGTATGATCCTTCCCTGGTTACGGTATTTGAGAGTTCCTAAACTATGAGATTAAGGTCAAGCCCCTGCTCTAATCCCCATACTTAGGAAGCTGAGGCAGGAGGCTCACCTCTAGCTCCAGGCATGCCAGAACTAGGTAGTGTGAGCCTTTCTTACCACTACCACCACCCATGACGGGGTCCACAGTCCCGTTTACCATTTACCAGCAAGCTCTCGGTCCTAAAACCATCCCTCATTCTAAACCATTTAGAATCTCCTACACAACTACCCCACCCCTATCACAAGTCAGGATGCAGAGGTGGAAAGATCTCTGTGAGTTTGAGCCAGGCTGGTCTATGAACCGGGTTTCAGGACAGCCAAGGCTGTTAACACAGTGATACCCTGCCTCAGGAAAAAGAAAAAAAAATCACCCCACAGCACAATACTCCCTTTATTTGTGCACAGCATGTGCCTGGAATAGCTAGTTGTCCCCCTCCCTAACCTATTCATAGTCTGAGCCTCAGTGTAAACACTGTCTCAGCCAGGAAGCAATCCTTGACCCTCCCTCCCAGTTAGATGCTCTGTGATCTCTCCTGTCAGCCCGTGCTCCACACGACTGTTTGTGTTTGTGACTTGCCCTTTGACATGGAGGCACCTTTAAGATTACTTTTTATCTATATACTGTCCAGGCCTTGCACAATGCTTGGCACATCAGTATCAACTATTTGTTGATTAAGTGGGTGGATGTGTGAATAAAATAATCACCATTTTAGGGATGATAAGATCACCAAAAGATTAAAATCAAGAGGAGGCATTTGAGACCAGCCTTGCTATGAGTGAGACCCTGCCTCAAAAAGGACACACCTTTAATCCCCAGTTATCAGAGGCAAGTGCACCACAAATTCAAGGCCAGCCTGGCCTACTTAGCAATTTCCAAGTCAATCAGGACTACATAATGAGACCCGGTGTTTTGTTTTTATTTTTTATTTGTTTGGGTTTCTTTTTTTTTTTTTTGAACTAGTCTTTTAAGAAAAAGAAAGAGGGAGAAAAAAAAGCAGCAACATGTCCACCCATTAGAATATACTTTAACCCACACAAGCAATAATGGTGGCTTCACTTTACGCGGCAATAGCAAAGGTCAAAGTGATATGTTCTGGGTGTTATTAGCAAGTAATCAGTTTTGGGAAACAAATTCTGGAAGCAATGTCAGAAGGCTACTGAAAAAGAACAAATTTAAAAATATAAATATGTTTGCTTCTAAAATGATCATCTCTTTCATCTTGGAAACAGCCTGCAAGGTAGGTATCAAAACAGTTCCTCAAAGGAAGGGAGCTAGAGCAGAGAAAAATCACACCTTTGGCCAAGGTACGAACTAGGAGTTTGAGTTCTGACTCTATAGATTATGTTCATGTCTTATTATTGTTGTTATCATTGACGTTATTATTAAGCTTGTACACAGTCGCAGGTTTCATCATATAACCATATTATTTTCACATATCATGCCTGCCCTTTCCTTGAGGAAAGAGGCTAGACCTCATGGCATAAAGGCAGAGAGCGCCCTGGAGGCCCAAGGCACAGAGAAAGGACTTCAGTTATGATCCATGCAGCACACAGTGCCCGTGTGTCGGGGAGGATGGAGAGGTGTCTGGGGCAAGCCTGACTCAGTGACTCTCTTGGATTGATTTAGAGATCCCACCTGGGAGAAATGTGAAGCAGAAGAAGAGAAAACAGAGCCAGGATCACAGTCTGCTCTATTCTCCCGCTGCCACTTCAAGCCACAAAATGACAGTGTTATTCACATCCTTGTAGAGGTGACCACAGCCCAAGGTGACATTCACAGCTACCTGGGCTCACCTTTCTGGATCCACCAGGCTGGTAAGTATCCCCACATAATTCCCACCTTCACCAAATCTAACTGGAAGGCTGAAACTTGAACTCTATAGACTACGTTCTTTCATCTTTGCTCATGTCTTTATAGTTATTACCATTTAACATTTCTGACCCACGGCCCTGGTGGCATGAGGATACACAAAAGGGCTTAGCACAGTCCCTGTTGAAACCCCTGCAGTGCTCCTCCCCACCCCGAGCCTGCACTGGAGAGAGGTCGCCAGCGGGAGGCTGGAGTTGGAGTGGCAGCACCAGTCATCCTGGGCAGCTCAAGAGACCTGCTACCAGCTCCGCTACACGGGAGAAGGCCACGAGGACTGGAAGGTACCAGAAAGCAACACATGCCTGTGGACCACCACACATGGCATTCCCCATGCCAACACTGGCTCTGGATCAGTCTCTGGACTTGTCCATCTATGTTTAACGGATTCAGCTGCTGTCTTACTCCCTCGTGGGCACGTGGCACCGTGGGCCACTCCATATGAACCGTTCTCTCCCCATGCTGGAGGTGGATCTCAGTGGCATAGCACTCACCTAGCATGCAGGAGGCCTGGGTTCCGTCCCAGAACCATTAAAAAAAGTTCTTTCCCTTTGTCTGTGAGATGGTGGCCTCCCTCATCCTCTCCCTATCTCTCTGAGTTTTATCTTTTCTTCCCCTGACTCTCCCTTGTCTACTCTTTCATGAGACAAGTTGTTCTTACTAGTACCCCATCCAAAATGCTCTCCCCTAGATAAATGTCTGCTCTGCCTAGCTGAGTGGTTCAAACCCTATGGTTTCAATGACTATGCATCAAGTAAACATTAACAACCTCGCATTCTAGACCCCACATAGAACACAGAAAGGGATTTAAGCACCACATGCAAATTACCTAAACTTTTGAAATCTCCTCATTAGTGAAATGGGGGGAAAGCTAGCTGTCTTAGAGTTGAATAAAAATTAACTATAAGGACTAGAGAGATATCTCAGCAGTTAGCAGTACTTGTTTCTGCAGGGAACCCAGCGTCAGTTCCCTGCACCCACATCACTCCATAACCCCAGTTTCTCCGCATGGAATCTGAGGGTACCAGACACACATCTGATGTACATATGTATATACAGACAAACACTCATACAATTAAAATAAATCTAAAAATTTTTAATATATAAATTCCTGGCATATAGAAAGGTACTCACTCAATGCACAAACATTGTTTTTATTCTCAGCATGTATATATATACACACACATATATGTACACATACATATATGTATATATACACACACATACATGTATATATACACACATACATACATGGATACACACACACACATATATGCATCTTCCTACCAGACAACTCTAGTAAACAACATCTCCAACAGATCAGATGCACTGTATTGAAGCTAAATTCATTTTCCTCCCCAGCTGTACTTTTACTAGGTATAGCCCATAAACAATAACGTATACAAACCTTAAATATAGTGTAAATTTTTCATGTGTATCCCATACATGTAGCCAATTTGTCACTTACCCAGATCTCCATATAACATATGCAGACTCCATCAGAGCCTTGCCTCCTACAGTGGCCCTGCATAGTAACCAAAACTGGCCACTATCTTGGCATTACTCATCTGACCGTAGCTAAACTTTCTATAAAGTAGACCCATATGCAGTTTTTATTTTCAAGCTTACTGCTCCCAGCTCTTTGACCGTGGAGCCACCTCTTACCCAAGACCAGAGCCTAGACTCATCCTTGATTCCTCCTTTCACTTCCCCCTCTCCTACTTAGCAACAAGTAATTTGAATAACGTATTAAACACGCTTCACTCCTGGTTTTCCCTTTGACCATCCGTGTCCTTGACATACTAAACTAGGCAGTATTGTTTCACTGTGCTCCCATGGTGCCTTGCACTAATTAATTGTGAGTATCTGCGTACTTACTTCAGATAAAACTGTATTTCACTTACTTACCTTTGTCTCTACCGCCTAGGTCAATGTTTGGCATTTCCTAAGCAACTCAAATGTCTGTTAAGTGTATTCTTGCTTGTGCAAAATAGTGTTTGTGACTCTGGCAGCTAGCGCAAATCTGGCGTCCTCTGCGCTATAGAACTTGTGGCACTGTGTGGCTCTGAGGGTCCAAGCTTGTCTCTAATCCAAGGCATGACCAGCGTAGGTGGTGAGCGCCTGTAGCCGGTGTCCCCACATCTTGTGGCTGGATGCACAGCTTGGTGAGTGCCAGGGTGTGTTCCCAGGCGTGAACTCAGGCAGGGCTTTTGATCCTGCACGCCTCGTGCGGAACTTGTGGCACGGTCTGTGTGACTCTGAGTGTCTGCTCCACGCTTGTCCTCTCAGGTGCTGGAGCCGTCCCTCGGGGCTCGGGGAGGGACCCTGGAGTTGCGTCCCCGAACTCGCTACAGCTTACAGCTGCGCGCCAGGCTCAACGGCCCCACCTACCAAGGCCCCTGGAGCGCCTGGTCTCCCCCAGCTAGGGTGGACACTGGCTCCGAGACCGGTGAGGATGGGCGGGGTCGAAGCTGGTCTATGCCGCGTAGAGGGCGTGGTTCGGGACGATGGGCGGGCCTTGGAGCTCTCAGTGTCTCAGTCTCAGGGTGGTGTTGGGCACTTGGGAAGCTGAGGGAGGAGCCAGGGCTGGAGCCGGCACGCCCCTAGGCGGGGCCGAGGGTCGACCGGGGTCACACGCTTTTTGTCCCCTAGCTTGGATCTCCTTGGTGACTGCTCTGCTCCTGGTGCTGTGCCTCAGTGTTCTCCTGGGCCTGGGGCTGCTGAAGTGGCAGTTTCCTGCGCACTACAGGTACCGCCCTGCCAAGAGGGTGATGGGGTGTGGTCTCTGCAAGGCCAGTGGCCTCTGAACTAGAATTCTCGAGTCACTTGATGACACTGCTCTCGGGACCACAGAACATCCACACCCACCCTTTCAGCTGCTTCCACACTCCTCTGGGAGTGGCACCTTCTCTTTACACTCTAGCCTGGCCACTCTATGAACACTTTCAACAGCCCTACCATCTAGATGCTCAGTGGTAGGGCTACTGTCCAGCCTTGGCCCAAATCTTCCCAACCCCACCTCACCCAGTTGGCCTTGAGGCCTGGTCAGTCCACCTCAGGAAATGGATCCAACAAAGCTTTCTTTCTCTGGCCCGGCACACTGCCTGGCTCATTGGAATGGTGCCTCTTCTCTCCTCATAAGCTTCTCGAAAAACACATTAGCCTATGGTGACCTGCCTAACTCCTTCAGTAGCTACCCAGGATAGAACCCAGCAAAGCTCTACAAAATCTTTTACCCAGTATAATCAGCCTACCAAAGTCTTGACTTACCCCCAGTTAGGCTGTTTTACTGCTCAACGCCTTTGCACACAATGTCCCTGCTGCCTGGAATATCCTCTTAGGCTGACTACCCAGTCTCTTTAAATATCTTTCTTCACTAACTCTTAACCTCTCCTGGCCGTCCCTCACTGGCTGCTGCTTTGTGCTCCTGTAGTGTTTTCCTGCATTAGCCTATGTATTTGGTGCAAGGAGTGTTGAACCCAGGGCTCGTGCACGCTAAGCACAGCTTTGCCACTGCCCTACACTCACAGCCCAGCATTTATTCCTTTACACGCCTTCCCCATCATACCTTTCTTGGTCATTTTTAAATCCTCAGCATAGTGCCTGCCAAGTAGAAGGCCCTTAAATAAATGTCATAATGAATGACTCATTTATGTGAGGGCTGAGGAGAAATTGTAAACCTAAAGATAAAATCCGCACCACCTCAGTCATTCAATTGGTTCGAGAATCTGCTGATTCTTGAACACCTAGCTCAGAAGTCAAAGTGTAGAGTGTGTGTTTAGGTTATAGGCTAGGCCAGGCGCCCTTCTCTGGAACTCCGGAGAAGTGCTTGGCTTTTTTTTTTTTTTTTTTTTTTTGGCAGGTTCTTACTTGTATCCCAGGCTGGCCTGGAACTCAACTGTATGGTCCAGCGTGACCTCAAGCTCATGGCCATGGCAATCCTCCTACCTTGCCCCCCCACCCTGCCCCACCCTGAGTCTTAGGATTACAGGCATGAGCCATCATGCCTGACTTTCTTTGAACTTTTAATCTGCCTTTGTGTAAGAGCAAACTAGAATGGAGCCTCTATTCAACGTAGCCATATCTGACAAGAAAAAAAAAATAAGGTGGACAGAGAAGAGGAAGTGGTATTGCTAATAGGCACACAGGCTTTTTTTTTTTTTTTTCTGAGATCAGAAAGCTACTTCTCCCAGGAGATGGGGGTGAAGGTCGTGGAATAGGCCAGACACCTTTGGCTGAAACCCTTTAACATGAAAATCTGGGGCAAAGGAGTTGGAAGCCTCCTCAGTATACCTGAATTGACACTCTTCCCAGACAACCTTCTGCAGTCACATCGCAAGAAGCGCCACTGTTTTTCCTCCTTCGCTCTTGCAGTTTCTCAGGCACCCACTGTGGGCTCAAGGCCGGGGATCGAGAAGTCGAAAATAGATAATCTTCAAGCTCTCATACAGCTTGTGTTCTGGTGGAGTAAGAGAAGAACAAACTAACATAAAAATACAATGACTATCCAGGAAGTTAAGAAGAACAGCAGACCCCGAGATAGAGGGTGACGGAGAAGGAATGGTACCGAGTTGGCAGTGCTCAGGGACGGCCGACATGCTCTGACTATGCCCCGTCTCTTCAAGTTTACTTCTCTGTCTCACTTTGGTGCCCTCTTCATCACTCCCAACTCAATCCCAAGTCAGATTCCTCTCTCTTCCTTCCCTACAGAAGACTGAGGCATGCTGTGTGGCCCTCCCTTCCAGACCTACATCGGGTCCTAGGCCAGTACCTTAGAGACACTGCAGCCCTAAGTCCTGTGAGTACACCCCAGCCCTCCCTTCGTCCAGTCATCCCACCACCAATGACTCTTGTTTCCAATTCCAAAAAATGCAACTTGTTCACGGTCTTTGCCTTGGCATGTACTATCCCTAGGAGTTACACACACACACCCCAGCCTAAATATTATTATTTAATCCAACCCACCCCATGCCCTACGATCTGCTCCAATTCAGGCTGTCCTCAAACTCACAGAGATCTTCCTGCCTCTGCCTCCCAAGTGCCGGGATTCATCTGTCTCCTTTTGCTCATCTCTCTCTCAGCCTAAGACCACGGTTCCCGACACCTGTGAAGAAGTGGAGCCCAGCCTTCTGGAAATCCTCCCTAAGTCCTCAGAGAGGACTCCTTTGCCCTTGTGCTCCTCCCAGCCCCAGATGGACTACCGAGGGCTGCAACCTTGCCTGCGGACCACACCCCTGTCTGTGTGTCCACCCGCGGCTGAGCCGGGAGCCTGCTGCACTACCCACATTGCCAACCACTCCTACCTACCACTCAGCTATTGGCAGCAACCCTGACAGCAGTCCCCTTGCTACCACAGACCTAGGGCTCCCACATACCACCTTATCCATCCTTACCACCACCACCATCCATTCTGTTTACCCATCTCCTTGGGCTTTGTAACACTGATGTCGCCATCCTGCTGCTGACAAATTCAGAGCCCTTTCCCCATAGCCACTATTAGGCTAATCTCCACTAGGCTCCTCTGACTTCTCTTGAGACAGGGGTTTAGTACATACCCTGATGGCCTATAAGTAGCTATATAGAAAAGGCTGGCCCCGAACTCACAGAGACTTGCCTGCTGGCACTGAAGTTTCCATGCCCTGTAATTCCTCTTGGATGGGAAAGTCTCTACTCCCCCACCTCCCTTTAGAGTGAGTTCCCCTACCACCATGCTGCTAATGAAACTGTGCAGGCCAAGTCCACTTCAAGCCTTTTAATGATGCGATCCAAGAGGGTCTTGTTAATCATTTATTTATTTGCTCTCTCGGCATTTCCCTCCACCATGGCTCTGCACCTGCCTCTCTGAGCATACCAGCACTAGAACCAACTCTGGAGCTAGAGCCAGGTTCCAAGCCTGTCTTTCACACCTGCTAGCTGTACAAACTTGGGCAAAGAGCAGAAAGCCCTTCAGCCTTTCCCTGTCATCTACAGAGCGTGGACAATAGCAGAACTCCACAGAGCTGCAGAAACAACTGAGGACACATTGGCAAAGATATATTAAACACTCAACATACTTCGACTAGAGCCCTAATGATTTCTTCTCTATCTTTATTATATTATGACCATTGGAAGTTCCGGTCACCAGCCCAGATTTCTACTATAGTGCCCATGATGCTCTATGTGACTTTTTACATGTGTGTTTCTTGCTACTGGATAGTGAGCCATGAGGGCAAGGATTTGTCCTTTCCCCCAGCACCTTGAATACTATTTGGGGCATGATAGGTAATAGACCTTCAATAAATATTGTCTAAATTAATGAAATCTTTCTGAATGCTGTTGCCTTAATTCCGTGCCAACTTCCTTCACATTTCAAGCCTCTCCTATGCAATGGTAAATAAACTTGAACCACTCAAGTTACGGACTCCTCTAAACCATTCAGTTTCTCAATCAGATGATACCATGTTTGGGTCTTTGTTAGCTCCAACTATACCCAATTTGTTACTCAGGGTCTTATCAGAGACAGATGGACATACTGGGTAATTGGACAAGTTTATCTCATTTTGGGGGGGGGTTGGTTTTTCGAGACAGGGTTCTTTCTCTGTGTAGCATTGGAGTCTGTCCTGAAACTCACTCTGTAGACCAGGCTGGCCTCAAACTCACAGAGATCCGCCTGCCTCTGTCTCCCAAGTGCTGGGATTAAAGATGTGCGCCACCACGCCCAGCTGGTTTTGTTTGTTCAAGAACTGAGTTTCTTTGTGTAAGAATCCTGGATGGCCTGGAACTCACTTTGTAGACTAAGCTGGACTTGAACTCACAGAGATCCACCTGTTTCTGCCTCCCAAGTATTGAGATTAAAGACATGCACCACCACTCTCAGACAATTTGACAAGCTTAATACAAGGCTCTTTACTAAAGGGGAGGAAAACCATTAAGGAATAGTCCCTTGTACTGCAGGGCTATTAACAAAGCTGGTACCAACCCTAGACACCAAGCAGTATGGGAGACAAGCCTCTTGCCTTTGGTAGGCGGGACCAGAGGAATAAATAATTCAAATGCTTAGTTTTGAGTCTCTTAGAAAAGAGAGTCATTGTAAATGGCGGACGGGGGGGGGGGGAGGTGTGAATCACAAATGTATTGTATTCCATCTATTGCCACAACTTCATCTTTTCCCACCTCGATTCACGGACTTGATTCACAGGGTCTGCATCAGATGATTTCCCAGAGTTTTGGCTTCTGCTTGGGTTCTATGGGAAGATATTGGTAAATATCTTCCGCGCGGTGATGACACACACCTTTAATCCCAGCACTTGGGAGGCAGAGAACTCACTTGGTCTCTGTGAGTTCGAGGCCAGCCTGATCTACAAGAGCTAGTTCCAGGACAGGCTCCAAAGCTACAGAGAAACCCTGTCTCGGAAAAAAAAAAAAAAAAAAAAAAAGTATCCCATTTCTCCAAAATTCAAATGTTGAGGTCTCAAACCCAAGTACCTCAAATGTAATTTAAAAACCATGGGGGGCGGAGTTTAGACATAGATAGTGGAAGGAGAAAGCCAGGAGAAGATGGCAAGGACACTGGGAAACACCACCAAACCACTGGAAGCCAGAAGCACGGAACAGGTTCTTCCTCAGACTTCTCCAACTGTCAACATCTTGGTCTGGCACTTCTAGCCTCAGGGACACCCTGTTTGTGGCACTCAGTTATGGCAGTTCTAGCACACTCCGAGGCTGGGCTCACGGTCGACCCTGCAGACTCCACAGTCTGACTTGCTTTCTGCAAGCTCTTTTGAAGGGACCGCTAGCCCTCAGTTCTCTCATCCTCCCCACAGAACTACCAGTGACTTGCTTCTCAAGTGGCCCTTGCCTAGTTTATATCATAATGATAAGGTTCTGATTTTGTTGTTGTTTTGGTTTGGTTTGGTTTTTGGAGACACCTTCTCTCTGTGTAGACCTGTTCTGGAACTCACTCTGTAGTCCAAGCTGGCCTTGAACTCATAGAGATCCCGGTCTCTGTCTCCAGAGTGCTGGGATTAAAGACAAGTGCCAGCACTGCTAGGCTAGTCACTGTAAGCCTCTGCCTCAGGGTGCTGGGGCTTGGGCGCATGCTCACTTTCCAATGCGCGTATGTTCGCTGCGGCTGTGCTCCTGTCTTCCTTCTCTGTAACATAGTCACCTTAGCCAGGCACGGACAAAGCAAAGTGCTTGTCTTGCTTCCATGTTGAGTCTTTCTGCACAGGAACCTCCACTGATCCCAAGGGTCCTGGCGGATAAAAGCCAAACTCCTTAGCTTAACATGGAAGCCTGACACCAAACCACCACACCAGGCTACCTTTTTGGTTTTTTTTGGTTTTTTTTAGTTTCAGGAACTCTAGGGCATTAACGCTCTAGTTTTCCATGGTAACTAGAAACAGAAAAACAAAAAAAAAAAAGCAAAAAAAAACAAACAAACAAGTGTTTCAGAGTTAGAGACAACAGTGAGTTTAGACTAACAGCTGGAGTGTGTCCTCCCATTATCATGGGGTGACATTAGGCTAAGGACCAAACGCACCCTTTTCTGACTTCCTTAGGCAGTATGTTGTTGGGACTGCAAAGGGTGCCTTTGTTAACTTCTATTACCTCATTCTCACCTAATTTCTGTCTTGTTTTGATTTTTGGAGACAGGATCTCTCTGTTAAGTAGTTCTACCTGTCCTGGAACTCACAGAGAACCACCTGCCTCTGCTTCTAAGTGTTGAGATAAATGTGTAAAAGGTGTGTGCCACCATGCTTGGCCCTCTGACCTAATTTCTTTTTTATGTAAAATGAAGACAGCTGATTTATCTGCCTTAAGAGTTCAGGGAATTTGCCAGATGCCGGAGCACAAACCTTTAATCCCAGTACTCCGGAGGAAGAGGCATCTGGAACAGCCTCGTTTACAGAATGAGTCAGGACAGCCAGGGCTACACAGGAACTTTGTGTGGGGTGAGGGTGGGAGGATTCAGGGACATCCTTAGCTACATGGAGTTCAAGGCCAGCCTGGGCTACATGAGAACATGTTTCCAAAGAAAATTATGCAAACTGTTTTAATGCAATAGTTAGATGTTCCATTAGTGGCATCCATTAGTATCTGTATCAATGCTGTTTTACCTCTGAGCATATCCATCCAACTCATTAGAGCCCTGAACTAAATGAATCAGACTTGGATTCTGGATGTTTTCAAGCAATTTTTTAAAAAATATTACTGGAGGGAAGAGGTGCACTATGGCATAGGTGTGGAGATCAGAGGATACTTTTTTTTTATTATTAAATTATAAAAGTTTCCATTTCAGCCCCTCCTCCCAACACCCTCCCACTCCCCCCACTCCCTCTCCTCCTCCCTCTCCATCCCCTAGAGCAGTTAGGGTTTCCTGCCCTGTGGGAAGTTCAAGTTCCTCCCCCCTCCCTCCAGGTCCAGGGAAGGTGAGAGTCCAAACAGACTGGATCGCCAAAAACCAGTATATGCAGAGGAAGTAAGTCCCAGTGTCAATGGCTTTTCAGAAAGGCTCCGGGCCAGCCACATTCAGAGAATCTGGTTGGATCACGTCCTCGTTCAGTCCCAGTCCAACAGGCCTTGGTGAACTCTCATTATATCAATCCCCTTGTATCAGTGGGTGCTCGCATCCTTCGCAGTCCTGATTACTTTTTTTATTTTCTTCATCCTTCTGCTCCTCATTTGGACCGTGGAGTGCTCAGTCCGGTGCTCCAATATGGGTCTCCATCTGTATCGCCATCCAGAGGATACTTTTTTTAACGTGCAAGGGTGTTTTGCCTGCATGTATGTCTATGCATCTCATGCATGCCTGGTGCTGGTGGAGGTCAGAAGAGGGCATTGGATCCCCTGGGACTAGAATTATAGATAGTTGTGAACCGCTGTATGGGTGCTGGGGACTGAACCCTGGGTCTTCTGGAAAAGCATCCAGTGTTCTTATCAGCTAAGCCATCTCTCCAGGGATGCCCCTCCCTTAAAAGATTTTATTTTTATGCATGTGTGTGAGTGTGTCTGTATGTCTGTGTCTGCGTGAGTGTATGCCACCTGTGTGCTAGGTTCCGGTGGAACCCAGAAGAACCCAGAGTTACAAATATAGTTGTGTGCTGACAAACCAAATTCCAGTCCTTGGAAGCGCAGCAAATATCCCTTACCCACGGAGCTATCTCTCCAGGTCCCAGACCTGGACCAACTTCTTTCTATGACCTTGGGCAAATCCCTTGCATTGGGCCTTAGCTTTTTGCGCCAACAACCTGGTTCAGGGTCGGGTGTGGCGGCACATGCCTTTAAATTCCAGCGGATCTGAGTTCTAGGCCAGCCTAGACTGGTTAGTGAGACCCTCGTCAAATAAAATGGAGCCAGGCGGTGGTGGCGCATGCCTTTAGTCCCAGCACTCTTTGAGTTCGAGGCCAGTATGGTCAACAAGCTAGTTCCAGGGCAAGCTCCAAAACTACAGAGAAACTCTGTCTCGGAGGAAGAAAAAAAAAAAAAAAAAAAAAAAGGTATTGCTCACTGGCAGGTTGCACGCAACCCAAGTTAAGACAGGATCTCTAAATTCTCAAGACTCCAAAGCCCCACGAAAGCCACAGGATGTCCCCAAGGGCAGCCTAACCTAATCTTCACGTCGGAAAAGGCTGGAATCCTAATCCTTTTTTTTTTAATTTTTATTTATTTATTTTTTTACCCCCTTCCCTCTGTTTCACTTTGTTAAGTACCACACACGCAGGCCTATCTCCTTCCTAGCAGGGTTTTTGGCTAGCCGGCTGTATGCCAACAAACTCCTGCCCAAGGTCTCTAAGCACTCGGCCCCTCGGGGTCGCGTTTACCCTTGTGCATATAACCTCTACTACCCACACCCAGACTTCGGTGAGGCCGTTCTCAGGCTCTCAGATCCCCACCAGCTGCTCGGTCCCACCCGGAGAGACGTCAAGCGGTTAGCGGTTGCCGAGGACTGACAGGCAGCGCAAGCCCCGCCCGCCGCGCTCCGCTCTGGGATGGGACTCTGGCTCCGGGAGGTGAGTTTGGGATTTCGCCCGTAGGCTGAGCAGCCACACTCTCGTGAGATCTGAGAATCGTTCCCGGAAGACTCGCCCCTTTCCAGGGCAGCGACCAATGGGCAAGGGCGACGGTTAAGACGGTTGGGTTTTGAAGGAGCCAATGAGTGCTCGCAGCGGAGAGTTTAAGCACAACTGCCCGGCGTGCCTTTAGCTGGTCGGGGAAAGAACGCGTTCGGTAGTCGCACGGACTGACTGTGAGGAGTTGGGGGCTAGTGCCTGGGAAGGCAGCGTGCGGGAGGTGCCGTTCTGGTGGGAGCTGTGACCGGC